AACCAGGTGCCAAAGAGACAAGTGCGATGTATTGTCGCCAGTTAAGCAGCGTAAATAAACAACCCCATTTCGAACTTTCTTCAAAACAGAATGGATATGCTGGACTTGGGATGACTGCGAAGATGGCAACGGTTCGGAAGAACAAGGAAGGATTCACTCCAAGACAAGTCAAGGCTGCGATGGAAGCGAGAAGTGCAATGCACATACTCAATGCTCCAAGCACCAAAAGTCTGAAGTATGCGATCCGATCTGGTCTCATCAAGGACTGTCCTATCACTGAAGAAGCGATCAACCATGCCGAAGCAATCTTTGGACCTGACGCATCTACATTGAAAGGCAAGTCAACAAGACCAACTCCGAAGAAGACGTATGACGACTTCTTCAGTCCACCAGAGGAACTGTACCAACACAATCGAACGATTACCGTCTGTATTGGTCACATGGAGATGGGAGATGCTAAGTTTCTCACCTGCATTGATACCACTGTGCGTTATCGCTCATGTATTCCCATGCAGAACCTCAAAACTGACCCTGTATTTGACGCATTGGATAAGATATTCCGCCGCTACAATAAGGCAGGCTTTCATGTCAAGACGATCAAGTGTGATTGAGCTTTCATCCCTCTGACGGATGATATGCTAGACGATATGGGTGTTACTATTGACCCGACTGCAGCTGGAGACCACAAGCCTACAGCTGAGCGAAACAATCAAACGCTGAAAGAAAGAGTTAGAGTAGCTCTTGCACGATTACCCTACAAAGTGGTACCAAAGGTGATCACAGAATGTCTTGGACGTCGAGCCGCCAAGCTATTGAATGTCTTTCCCCAGAAAGACAATATTTCCTCACATTTCAGTCCGCAGCAACTCATTGATAATGTCAATATCAACTACAAGAGTGACATGGTTGCTGAGCTTGGACAGTATGTACATGCAATTGGGACGGATTCCAACAATTCGATGGAACCGCGAAGTATTGAAGCTATCTACATTGAACCTACAAAGGGACAACGTACAGGGCACCGAGTGCTCAACC